TCTTTTCCGAATGGTCTGGCCCTAATTCTCAGATTAGTTCTAGAATCCCCAAGTAGTGGAAATAGTTTACCTTTATCTACCCTGTCTTTTCATGTTAATATCTTGAAGACTTTGATCAGATCACTCCTTGACCTTCTAAATTGTAGAGAAAACTGGCCTAATTTTTGTAATCTCTCCTCATAACTTAATTCCTGAAGTTCAGGTATCATTCTTGTAAACTTGCATTGTACTCCCTCCAAGGCCATTATGTCCTTCTGAGGCGTGGTCCTCAAATCTGCTGACAGTACTCTAAGTGGAGTTTAACTAGGGTTTTGTAACATTTTTTTTCTTCATTCATGATTTGAGGGTGTCGCTGGCTAGGCCAGCATTTATTGCCCATCCCTAATTGCCCAGAGGGCAGTTAAGAGTCAACCACATTGCTGTGGGTCTGGAGTCACATGTAGACCAGACCAGGTAAGGATGGCAGTTTCCTTCCATAAAGGGCTTTAGTGAACCAGATGGGTTTTTCCTGACAATCAATAATGGATCCACAGTCATCATTAGACTCTTAATTCCAGATATTTATTGAATTCAAATTCTACCATCTACCATGGTGGGATTCGAACCTCAGGTCCCCAGAACATTATCTGGGTCTCTGGATTAACAGTCCAGTACTACTAAAGCATGGCCATACCATCTGAATCCTTGTATTCCAGTCCTCTAGATATAAAGGCCTGTGTTCCATTAGCCTTGTAGGTTATTTTTTGCACTGTTTGTGGTATTTTAAAGATCTATGCACCTGAACCCCCGAGTGTTATTGGACATTCAAGACAAGTTATGTTGACACATTTTGAAAATCTGCCTAATTGAATGAATAACTGCAAACATGCAGATATAGAGTTTCAGAAGAAGTTCAGTAAGATATCCGACAAAAAAGGGTAGCAGCATGGATAATTGAAGTTGTTGCTAAGATTGGAGAGAGTTGGAACTGAAGAGATTTACCTCCTGAATCCACCGCATCCTCGTCTTAATGCAACTGCCAGATCTCTCACCATTTGTTAAACCTAGCTGCCAGCAGATAACATTAAAGAACTGAATGACTATGAGCACAGCCTTATTTTTATATTTAAAGGGACAGTCCTATTGGCTTCCTGCTCCCGTTCTGATCTTTGTTGAAACTGGAATAGTGTGGGTTGAAGATAGGCCTCGGTGAGGAAACACATTTTTTTAAATGCTAATTACGACCCAGCCCCTGCAACATGCAACCCCAAGTCTGCCACTGTTTTAGGTAGTACTCCCTTAAAGTAGCTCCAAGAATACCCCAAGATCAAATATGGTGAGCATCTGTTGCCACATAATGACTGGAAAATGGCTCTGAAAGTTCATTTAAATAAAACAAACCACTGCCTATATAATGGTTTTTCAGAAATATTTGGGGTCTACAATGATGCCACCCCACACCACAGCTAGGACTATTTCATGGACTTATGTACTGCACCTGTCAGACTCATTACTTGGTGTAATCCTGGTATTTGTATCAAGGAACAGAAAGAAAACAGTTAAAAGAAATAAATTGTGAAAAATGTTTTGATTTTCAGAGCAAAGAGCAGCAGAAACTGAATATCTGACCAGTAGAAGTTTTCAGTACTGTCTCAAAAGAGTCCTAAACAACTTGAAGGTCAGGTTAGCTCAGAATGATTTCCGTCTTCTACAGCTGCCTGCCTTCTATCCTAAACTTCAAATGCTTTTAAATAACATTTGGAGCTTTGTTGCAAAAGCTGTTGTTTTGTGCTAGTGAATGTTTGCCAGCAGTTTAGAAACTAGATGGGATTTGAAAGGGTCATTCTTATCAATACACATGTACCTGAGCAAAATCCTAATGCAAGTTCAAGATGTTTCCTCCATTGTTTTTTGTTCTGTATGTAAATGTTAAACGTCCTGGTTGAGGCTTGCATCTTAAAGAGATCATTGATATAAAATTAGTCATTCAGTGGGTGTTCAGCTAAACAAGAAGTTTTGGTTAATATTGAACATTGAGAATAATGCAACAAAAGCCTATTTTAAGTGTTGTTTTCTGTCTAAACTTGGAATGTAAAACAGAGACTGTTGAAAGTGCTGACCGTGAATACAAGCTGTTTGCACTCATAAACACTTCTTTGGCAGCGTAAACCTCATTAGTCTGTAAAACAGCCATTCAATGTGGTGAGAACAAACAGCTTGAAAGAGCTACAGTGTTCGGTTAACTTTATTTGCTTTCGTTTGTCTATGGTATTTTTTAATGAACAATGTCATTTAATACTTTGTGATCTAATTACTGGATTGTAGATTCTCTTACTGGGTAGACATGCTCTTAACCAGTTGACTCTTGAGTCTACATCCCTTTGAGGGAGGACATATAAGCAATTTGGTGGCTAAGCATTACATTTTATTTACAATATCTTTTAACCAAAGTCTTAGGGAGAGTTGTTGGAAACGATTGCCTGTTTAATTGTGAGGCAGCAACCACAGTTTCTACTCTTGCTGAAAATCCTCTTAAACCGATTTTGGGGGGAAAGGATTCGTAGAGCAGGCTTCTGTTGTTTTCCTGAGCACTGGTGCATGATTTTTTGAAATCACGTCCAGTTGTCATAGTGTTATTAGGTGCTGGCTCATTAGAGCGAGAGAGAGAGATAGATGACTGATGGTGAGTTTAACCTCCCTTCCCTCAGGGGGAGGGAAGAGGTTGAGAAGCAGAGTCCTTCACGGTTACCTCAGTCAGTGTGGGGATTGAACCCACGCTGTTGGCCTCACACTGCTTCACAAACCAACTGTCCAGACAACTGAGCCAAACCAACGCCCTGCAGCGCTGCTCACTCACAATGCCTGTATTATGTTGCCAACCTTTGCTCTGTGCTGTGCACCCATCCCATTGCTTCTAGTACAAAATGCAAAGAAAAGCTTGTGAGAAATTCGGTTCCACAGAGGGTTAGAATGTGATTCTTCTCCTTCCTGGAGCCCCAGTTTCTCCATGGTACATTGAGTTTGGGATGCGCTTGTTCCAAATTTCTGAAGTTGGCTTCTTTTTACAGCATTTTCATTCTGAGGTGCCAAAGATGGCCAGTGTGGGAAATTAAAAATCACCTTGTAGGTCAGCATTTGTTTTTCTGGGTCTTGAGTTTTGATGTTGTCAATGCAATGTAGAAGAAGTGAATCTGGCAAAAGGCATATACAAGTTGCATGCTTTCAGTTCCCAGCATTGATATCATTTATAATGATCCACGCAAACAAAATCACCCAGTGCCCAGAATTTCTCCGATCATCTTTTGTATTATGGTTATCTCTGGCAAGGCTGGCATTTGATAACCCTCCCTTGTTTGCTATTGAGAGGGTCATGGTGAGCTGCTACCTCAAACTGATTTGATTCATGTGAGGGTATATCCACAATAAGGTTAGGTTCAGAGGTATGTGATAGTAAGGGAATGTTATGCCCAAGTCAAAATGATGTGTGATTTTGGGCGTAAAGGTGTTTCTGTGCACCTTGCTGTTACCCTTCAGATGGGTTAGATTCTGGGTTTAGAAGTTGCTGCTGAAGAAACCTTTGTGATTGGCTGTACTTATCCTGAGGTTAGGATACACTGCAAACATGTATGGTAATAGTGGAGGGTGGGTATGTAAGCTAGTGCATGGGGTACTGATCAAGCAGAGTGCTTTGTCTTGGATGTTATCGAACTTCTTGAAGGATGCAGTTGCAACCATTCAGGCAACTGGAGAGCATTCTACCCTCTTGTTTTCTACATGACAACAGTGATTTGTTACCAATTATAACAGTCAAAACTTCAGTATAGGGTAGAACTCTGGTGGTAAAGAATACAGTTTATAGTTAGAGATCACACAGAGTTCCACCTGGACAGTTTTTAGGGCACATTTTATAAAAGCCAGACCCAAGAGAGTTAGTATGAAAAAAAATCACAATATTTTGTCAGCAATGTTTATTAAACAAATTAGACAGTTGATTACTGCATTCAGTTATCCCTATCATTTGGATTCCCACTATTTTGGAAGTGATCTGCTTTGCTGGCACTTTCACTTGAGATGTTTTGCTACTTAGCTGAGACAAGCTTGCAACATGTTTTTGGCAACTCCAACTGTCTTCTAGGATTTCGCATTTTGTCATCGAGGCATTTGAGGGTCGTTTATAGCTGGAATTCTAGGAAGTCGATGGAGGGAACAGTTAATTGAGTGCATAGAAAGTTCCCGAGCAGCTCTTGGCTCATCAGCCAACCACCAACGTTAACAATTGCTTCTTGGAATGCGAAAAGGGGCCCAAGGCATCAAAAAGTGAAGTTTCATAGTAGAATGGATGCAGAGTCATCAGTTGATAGATTATACGAAAGACTTACCATTTACTAGGTTGCAGAGATAGGTATTAAATAGTTTTGGATAGGTGGGGAGCCAGGAGGAAGTAACTGAGATGGGGTAGGGCAAAGTTGTGGAGAAATTTGAAAGTGTGATATTAGGGAACTGGGAACCAGAGCAGACTAGTAATTGGCTGGTGGGTCCTACTAAAGGATAAGCTATGGGCTGCTGAAGTTGGCAAAATTTAGAGTTTATAGAACATGGGAACAGGAGGTTGGCTAGGGAAACTTTGAAATAATGCGTCTAAAGGTCACCAGAAAATCTCTGTGTGAGAGAAACTGAGGAATCAGTGGCATGAGAAGGTACCACATGGGGCAGCACTGCTGCCTCATAGCACCAAAGACCTGGGTCGATTCCAGCCTCGGCCGACTTTCTGAGTGGAGTTTCCACGTTCTTCCCGTGTCTGTGTGATGGCCGATTTGTCATGGGATGCAAGAGAGGCTATGAGGCTAATATGTACTACTCTCTCCCACCAACCCCATTCCAATGTATGTTGGCTATCGTGCTGTTGAATCTATCTGACTCAAAGAGACCCAAAACCATTTTGGCATTTCTGCCCTAAAATACGTACAGCTGGATGCATACCTTCCAAATCTGCTAATCAATGCACGCTTCTGTTTTTGCAGGAAGAAGCTACATGTAACAAGAGGGAGAAGAGGTATGACCACATTACATCCTCTCCTCTAGCTTGAAGGGGTGGCTGTTCAACTACACAATGGGCTGTGGAACAGGAAGTAGAAGTAGGAAACATGGCCCAAGACTCAACCTTGCCCAAGACTTACACTTCCTTCACTCACCATCCTATTCAGCTACATTTGCTTCAGAACTCAGGAATAGACAATGGGATTGGGTAATGGCTGTTTGTCAACAAGTTATAAAGAGGATTAGGTGCTAAGCTTTTGTCTTGTATCCTCTTTTTTCTTTATTTGCAGCTATGACATGCATCTGGCACCCAATCTCACCCTTACAAGCAACACATTCCGTCACCGCCCCGAGGTCAGGTCACTTCAGAGCAGCATGATGATCGACAGAACACAATGAGCAGGTACAGGACACAGTGACTGAGACAAGGCAAGGAATACCTGCAGCTTATCTCTCATTCGCCCAGAGCTTGTGAGGGCAGGGTTTCTGAATTCCAGGGTCAGATGTTTAACAAGATGTTTTGCGAATGTAACAGCTGCTTGGAGCCACATGCAAAAGAACTAAATAACAAACCATGCCCAGGATCATTTAGTGGCCGATGGCTAGTATGAAGAGTTCAAATCATAGAGTACAGAAGGCCAGTTGGCCCATTATACCGGTACTGAGCCCATACTTACAGCATTCTCATACTTTGACTGAAAAGTACACATTCAGACTTTTAGGTAAGTAATAGCTTCAGGGTATCTCCAGTGCAGTTTTTCATGCAGAAACTGTGATCCACTACTTTGCATTTCTTGTAAATAGGCCAATTGCTACTAAACAAATCTTCAACTGCAATTTTACCTTGTCCTCCAATGGAGTAATTGATGACTCGGACTGATGTGACAGACTCTTTACTGCCATTGAGACTATGGAATTTTCTCCGTGAAAATAATGACATAGAGATGGAGAATAGGAACAAGTCGAACCTAGCAATGATTAGGGTGTTAACTCTGGTTACAGCATCTCCATTTCAGTTCTCTCATCCTTTCCCTGCTTCCATGCACCCGAAAGCTGGTAAAGCAGGGCACTACACCCCCAGGAGAGTAGCAGCTTGAAGCAGTCCTTTTACGAGTCCATGCTCAGAGATTGAGACCTACTTTAATGTTGTAAACTTTCAGTGACACTAGACTCCTCATCACCTTATGGGCTCCAGACACAGAGGTAGCATCAAAATGTAATATGAGCTTGCACCGTGAAGAAAGCAGTGGATAAAAGAGATACACATTGGGTTTTTGCAGTGAATATATATCAATGCGGGAATTGCAAGACGTGAAATGTGCATTGTAGGATGATGGTCCTGTTACTCATTAAGTAGAGAGCGACACTGGAAAGTTGCACCTTGGAAATTTAAGGCAGACTACAGAGGAGGCCAATGACGGGGACAACATGAGAACATTAGGAGAAAGTAAAAACAGGAAGTGTCAGAGAAACTCAGCAGGTCTGGCAGCATTTGTGTCGAGAAACCGAGCCAAAACGTTGCCAGTCAGATCGACTTCTTCAGATCTGAAATGAGCTGGAAAATGCTGTTTTGTTTTAATGCTGTAGAGGGGAAGGAAGATCAAGTGGAACACATGATGAGCGTGCTCCGGCCAAAAGTCAAAGGCAGTGATAATGATGATGGTAAAGGAGCGATAGATGTGTTTAATAGCTGTGATTGTTAGCTGTATAAAGGAGGAAATATGTCTGCTCTGCTGAGAGCAAAGCCAACAAAACACGGCCTGGGTGGATGATGGAGAAAAATGGAGTACAGAGGTCAGACTGTGTAGTTTTGGAAGTCAATATTGAGTCCTAGAGGCTGTAAAGTGCCCAAATGGAAAATGTTGTTCCTCTGGCTTGTGTTGACCTTCATTGGATCGCTGTAGCAGGCCCAGGATGGAATTATTTGTATGGGGGCAAGGTGGTTGGTTGAAATGGCAAGTGACTGGAAGGTTGGGGTCATGCCTGTTTTGTTAGGAGAAAGCGTCCACTCACCTCATTGTGCAGTTGCCAGAATTGTTTTCCAGAATGACTGGTGTAAGAATGTCCCGTGCCTCGCTGTGTGGAATAACTTTGCTGTTTGGGATCAGTAGCTCCCTGTGCAGTCACAGGATGGACTTTACATGCTTTCCATGACGATATGATGAGCTAACAAAGACCAATACCTCAGGACTTTGCTGGAATTCGGCTTCGAGAACCAAGGTTATTTATCATTTAACAAGTGCAAGTACAGGATTTTGTTTTTCGTGGACCAAGTTTTACATTTTTTTTTTACAGCACAATATGTTCTAAATTCTGATCATGTCAATAAGCTTTAATGTGATTAAACCCCAGGGAACTTTGCAGAGTAATAGACCAGAAAGGTATGAATGCTTTTTGGGAGGGGATTGACATAGCTGCAGTCAGAGAGATATTCTTTGACAAGGAGTTTCAGAGAGAAAGGTTGGAGCCAGCAAGGAAGTATAGGTTGCTTATAACCAGCAAGGATGTGGAAGATTCACAGGAATGGGGGATCAAAGTGCGGAGGTGTGAGCTGAGATATTAATGTGAAGAAAACCGCAGAGATTGGGTGAACAAAGAACCTTTTGTGAGGTACTTATAAACAAGAACGAAGACACAAGATCAACATTTTAGAACTTGAAGAACTGGTGGAGATGAGTGGATGGGATTTCTACTGAGATAGGTTATAGGCGATGAAGTTATCACAGGATACAGGGAATATTGTGGAATTTTATCTGACTATTGCAGTTTCAGTGGTACTTTTACAACTTAAAGGCATGCGGGGCTGACTGGAATCATGTCTCTCAGGAAAGATGCCCATGGCTGTTTATAGCCTGTTATGGCTTTCAGTTTAAATTTGATCATTATTTCTGGTACCGGAGGAAAATGCAATTTGAGAATCATGAAAATTCAGACCATTATGTACCAACGTGATCTATTTCTTTATCATTTACCTCTTTACTGTGTTGCCTGAAGACTAAATCTAAGCATAATGTATTCAATGAGATGTGGATGAAGCATCCTCCTTATCTGGCCTCCTGCTACAGTGTTACACAGCCCCTTGATATCAGATGTTGCTGCTCCATGGGTAAGACATTTTTAAGCTAAACTTTGATCTCATTGTCATATATCAAAATGTGGAAAAAGAAAACATGCAGGCCTTCTCCCTGCTGCTTATTTCAACAATAAGGAAGGAATAAAGGGCAGCAGCAGTGTTGGGCCACACCAGATCAATCCACATGGATAAGGAGAACCACCAATTCGACTGGGACAACACCAAAATCCTGGGACAAGCTAAACAGAGACAGGCACGGGAATTCCTAGAAGCCTGGCACTCCATGAAGAAAGCCATTAATAAACACATAGAACTCAACCCCATATACACTCCACTACGAAGGAAACCCGGAAGTGAGGCAATCCAGCTCAACGGACTCCAGAGTTTAAAAACCAGGCAGGAAAACACACCGATGCTTCATCAGAGGCTGCACTGAGGATGTTACCAAGCACGGTAACGAAACATCTGCGGAACAACAAACCAGCTCGGCGAGCCAACCAACCTCAACATCCACAACCCGAGCTACAGATCTACTCCAAAACCTTACAGATCATTTCCTCTCCGACTGTTCTAGGGATTTCTTTGAGACAGAAGCAAGCCAACAGATACCTTGCATATTACTTAATAAGAGTAAGTTGAACAACACTTTTCGGAATCAACATCAAAAATGTTGCCCTTAACTTGGAATTAAACAGTCAAATGCAACCAGTATCTAAGCTCAAATCTTGTGCTTAAAACAAATGCAAATGAAAGAACTTTTTATCTGGTCATGACCAGGGTATATCTTTTTAATCTTACAACCGAATCTGAAGAAAGATTCTCAGAATCCCTACAGTGCAGAAAGAGGCCTTTTGGCCCACCAAGTCTGCACCGATCTTCCAAAAGCATCCCACCCTTTCCCCATAACTGCACATTTTCCCGCGGCCAATCCACCTAACCGGCGCATCTTTGGACTGTGGGAGGAAATCGGAGCACCCGGAGGAAACCCATGCAGGCACAGGGAGAATGTGCAAACTCCACACAGACAGACAGTGAAGCATCGATGTTAATCACTGAGCCACCATGCCGTCCTTCTTTATGGCATGTGAATGTTGTTGGCAAGGCCGTTATTTACTGCCCTAATTAGTTGTGGTGAACTGCCTTCTTACAACATTACAGTCCATGTGGTGTAGATAATCTATAAAGCTGTTAGGAACGGAGTTCAAGAATTTTAATCCAGCAGCAGTAAAGGACGACAAAGAGGAATTTCATCTCAGAGGGTTGTATGTCTTTGGAATTCCTTGCCACAGAGAGCTGTTTGGGCAGAGTCCTTGTGTACATTTAAGGATGCAGAAGATATTCTAAATCAATAGGGGAGTCCAGGGTTACAAGGAAAAGACGGGACAATGGATGTGAGGAATGTTGGATCAGCCATGATCCTTTTGTATGGCGGTGTAGGTTTGAGGGGCTGAATGGCCTACTCCTTTTCCTATTTCTTATGTTCTAATAGCAGAATAGTTCGAAGTCAGGCTGGTGTGTGGCCTAGAGAAGAACATGGCAGAGGGTGGTGTTCCCATGCACCTGCTGGCCTTGTCTTTCTAGCTGGTAGAGGTCATTAATTTGGACGATAGTTTGAAACCTTGGCGAGTTTCTGCAGTGCATTTGATAGATGATACTGTTGTCACTGAGTGTCAGTGATGATGGGAACTGAATGTTTACGTGGTATGTAGAGTGCTGATTAAGCAACCTAATTTTTCCTTAATGGTGTCAAGCTTCTTGAATGTTGTTTGTGTTGCATTTATCCAGGCAAGTGGGGTATACTTTATCACATTTCTGCTTTCTGTCTTATGTAGTAAGTCTTTTCATTTAAAATTGTGGTTGCATTCCTGAAATTTGCAACTTTACGTGGAATAGCTTCAAGCAAAAATGGTTTCCCATTGTATCACTGTTAAGGCCAGAGTTATGATGCGACAGACTTTTTTGCTTGGACGAAAACAGGTTGGAATACCATACCTAATGTTGTAGAACTCTGTATTCCTACCTGAAATAATTTTCAGTAGAGAATAAATCACTAAATGTAGAAGAGACGCTGTAAAGCTGAAGACTTCAGGAGAAAGGCAAGATGAATCATCCACTTGGCACATCTGGCTGAAGATGGTTGCAAATGCTTTGGTCTTGTCTT